ATAGTTATCAAAACGCCTGCCATTTGAAATAAATAAATTTCTCAGCCAATAATATTTCATAGGAAATGTCATGAGCTATAAGGCGTATTAAAAACGTGTTTAAAGTTCTTCCAAACTGTCATCGAAACAATTCGAATCCCAGAAATAGAAGAATTTTAATCCCTTTTTTTAAATAGTGCCTAATCCATTGAATGAAAAATCGGTTGATATTGGCATTTAATTTTCTACGGAGTCTTCAATATTTTTCTAACGTTGTTTAGATTAAACTCTTTCGCAATGTATTACGCATATCCGTAGAAATCAAGAAGCACAAGTCTCCAGTGATTCTATTTTTTAAAGAGAGTACATTCTAAATTTGCCATTCCTCGAAATGAATTTGGCGCGCAGTAGTCCGAGAAATGCTTTTAAAGTCCTTGAACACCTACCTTTAATATTTCACTCAAAATCACTTGGCGGAATATTACGTACAAAATGTAGCCGATCTTTTCCTGAATAATTTCGAAAATCTCCCGAAATCCGTTTCCATTCCTCTAGTGTCCTAATTTATTTTAAAATGCTTATCCAATCAGCAAGCAAAAGTTCGAATCAAATTGACACATGGTTCTGACACTAAACGTCCCTAATTTGATTTTCCTGCGAAATACTACAGTAAAGAGAGGGCTTTTTGTGGTTCTGCAGGGTTGAATATTTATTTGAGAGTTTAGTAATAAAAAACGACGACTTTAGTACCACGTCAGTAAAGTTTGCGCTGATTCACTCAATCAGGCCTAGGTGTCAAAGCTATCTGAATTACTTATTTCCAAGTAGACCATTTCCAGCACATGCCGAAAATTGATTTTGCCACTCTAATTTTATCGATAACTTAAACAATTGCAATAAAATGCATTAAATAAATTAATCTCGATTAAAAAGTTATGAATTCACGTTACCATCAGTTGAACATTGAGATGAATACCATTCGATAACGATTTCACAATGAAAAAGACTAAAATTTGCAATTAAATTTTTTCTTGTAACATACATGATGGATTGCTATTTATCTACTCCTTAAATACATGTTTATCATGTAAAAATAGTTTTAATTTAGGGCAAAGTAAACTTTTATTTCAAACGCTTGTTTAAACAGTAATAGCAAAGTAGCTAACGAATTTTTACTTATGTTAGCTAAATTATAGGGAAATATATTCGCTTAAACGTATTCTAATACTCCAAATCTCAACACCATTGTACAATATACGTTGGTTTGAGTTCAAGCCCTGTTCGAGTAATTAAAGAATGTCTACAGGGGAAGTCCTTTGTCATAGGCGTCCAAATTCTACAGACGTATTGTCCTTGCTTCTATGCCTTTATCAATGGAAGTTTTTGTTGAACTAGGGGTGCGCGATAGACTTATCTCCATGTGGTCCACTTTGGGCAACGTATACTCACACGGCAAAACGTCTATTAACTGGCAGTTGACTTCTCACTTCAAACTACCATCACCCCACTCTATGTCATATTTCACCACTTCCGCAGTACTCACCTCACCTTTTTACCACCTTTGTGTCTGTTTTAAACATCTTTGAAACACTCTTCTCTTCCCGCCTCCCACTCCTCTCGACTTTTTTTCCACTTTGATGTTCCTTCCCCTCTGTGAAGCCTGAAGTCAACTAAAGGGCTAATGATAACTATTATAACGCCGTTTATTTGATATAAATAAATTTATTGAACTATGATTATACAGAGCAAAACGTGAAGGACTGTTTTTAGGAGTTGAGATTTGTGCTGGTTTTTTGTTCACATGAAGAATCAATAATCATTCACATTTATTTCCCAAACAATTTTTTTCTACCTGAAGGCGAAAAATGTATTTTTCAATTTCATGATTTTTGACGGTAAGGCGATGATGACAAGTACGTTAAGATGACCATTAACGCTTTTGCAGTTTGGATAAAAGTGAAGGCCTATTGTACAGATAACGTCTTTTGCCAGATATGTCTTTAAGGGGCTCTCTGAGCGATGAATGACCTTACTGCCAGGTTGACTGAACTCAGGATTTGAATGAGCATTCTTTAGAGAGGTCTAAAATTTTAATTCCATTATCTGGATACAAGTTACACTGTTATACTAAGTATATCTGAAATTATATTATCATAGAGAGGTGTGCGATAGAATTACCTCCAAGTGATGCACCCTGGGCAACGTATACTCATACGGCAAAAGGTTTATTAACTGGCAGTTGACTTCTGATTTCTAATTATTATGACCCTACTGAATGTCATATTCGAACCCTTACGCTGTACTCAACTCACCTTTTCCTCTACCTTTGTCTGCCAATTTTACATCTGCGATTCATTATTCTGTCCCCCCTTTCAACTTTTTGTCACTTTGATGTTCCTCCAACTCTCTGTTAAGCCTGAAGTCAGCTAAAGTGCCAATGATAACTATCAATACTCCTGCCACTTGAAAAAAATATTATCATAGATTTCTTGGAGTAGTTAATTGCATTAAGTTTCGACGATCTGGTGGTCCATAAAAAGAATTATATTTGGTTCGTTAATTGCATAGATTTTATCGCTCATTAATCCGGCTAGACCATGTGAGAGGAATCAACTGATGTTGCAGCCAGACAAAGCAGTGCATTCATAAAATTTGGTGTTACAACCACCTTGGACGGACTATTAAAGCAATTACCTAGTTTCTCCTTGTGTGGACACGGCTAACAGTGACACTCTAAACTGAAAATATTTACTGACAAATGTCATCTGAAATAAATCGATAAAACTGAGTTATCTTAGTGAAGTGATGCTCATTAATCGGTGAAGGTCGTAGACACGCACTTAATGCAGTTCTAGGGAGAAAGTGAGAAAATGAATTTAGTGGAATGCGGAATGCCACTTTTGGTTAAGTCAAATGAAGTAGCATTCAATTGAGAAGTTGGAATTACGCTGCGGTTCGTTTTAATCCTTCCCCACCCCAACTCCAACCCCACCCCCCACCTCATTGTTATATTTTGGACTTGCTGTTAATCAATTTAATTGGCTTTCCACTGAAAAATGCGTGATGATAGTTTTTCTTCCAAAGAGCACTTTTATTAAATTATTCCATGATAACCACCTTTTTCCGCCAACTACCCCCCCCCCCTTCCTCCTCCAACCTCCCCNTCTGCTAGTTCAAAGATGAGTATGCATCCTCTAGAGCTACACTTTGTCCAGGTTTAAAGAAGAAAATTTTCGCAAAATATTGAACGATAAAGCATTCAGCCAACTTTGACGACAAATTGTCTTCACCGCAAAGTTGATCATGTTTCCTTACTAACTGATCGTAAGACTTGACTGCAACTAACCCTATGATAGCATAAATACCTTGGAATTATATTTTATTAACCTGATAAGAAAATGAATGTGACAGTGGTTAGGTCAAACTTTTGAATCATTTTGGCTGAGTCCCTTAGTTCCAATCACCGCTGACATCATGATTTCCTAATCATGGAATCCACCACCTGTCGAGAGTTTGCATTGAGCCAATTCCTCTCATTTTTGCATTCATTATTAAATTGAAAGTGACAATATGAATAACCAAATTTTTTTGTTTACTTCCATAAAATCTTTGGAATGCATTCTTTGCTGAGTTGAACGCCAGTTCAAAAGAGTAGGTTTCATCAAATTCGGATCTTAATGGGGGTTTGTAAATTGTTGCTGTCCTAATGGACGAATAGAATACCCATGAAATGCGATCAATTCTCCCTGTCTCAATGACAATTTGTCAGGGGTGTGCGATAGACTTACCTCCACGTGGTGCACCCTAGCCAACGTATACTCATACGGCGAAAAAGTCTATTAACCGGCAGTTGACTTCTGACTTCAAACTGCCATGATCCCACTGTATGTTATATTCGACTACTTCCACAGTACTCACCTCACCTATTTTCTACCTTTCTACCTTCGTCTTTGAAACGCTTTTCTGTTCTCTCCCCACCCCCTCTCGACTTTCTTTCACTTTGATGTTCCTTCCCCTCTGTGAAGAACAAAGTCAACTAAAGGGCTAATGATAACCATCAAAACGCCTGCCATTTGATATAAATAAATAAATGGCAATTTGTCATGTGGCCATTCTTACCAAGGTCATAGAAACGCTAGACCTAAGGGGACATCTGAATGCTTCCTCTATCTAGTTCATTAAACTCTGACAGCACAAATGCACAAACATCGAGGTGGGGGGGGGGGGGGGGGGGGGGGAGAGAGCAGTGGTTTTCTCCTTCTCCAATGTCGGCCAGAGACAACCAATCTAATTGGCCATTCTAATCACTTTTATGCATGTGATAAGAATCAAATTCCCAACCTCTGTCATAGTAGACACTGATCGTTGATGAATGACATAACTGACCAAGTAGTAATTGTTGACTTATTGATGAACGCCTAAAATAATATATAATCCCATATTGCGCGAATGTTATTTGTTTGCGAATTTTTTTTATAAATCTATTTCTTGCCAGATTCGATTGGATTTTTAATTGTTAATAGAATTAAAGTTAATAGAACTATATAAAAATCTTTCCCTTGGAAAGTCTTAATACATTTAATTCAGTATGAATTTATTAAGGTTGTATGACAATAATCAACTTTATAAAATGAGAATCTTTGCTGATACCTTTGCCTATGTGCCATTTGTAAACCCTCAAAAAACAGGCATAAATTATTATAGACTTTCATTTAGTTTACACTTGTCCCATCGAAACTAAGTGAATTACCGAGGTAAAGCGTTTTAAGGAGTAAAAAATGCCCTCTACCAAGATATAGCTCTTTCAGCAAGAATGATGATAAAAATAAACCCGTGTGTCATGACAGAGAAGCCAATAAGAATTTACCCACCCCCAGAGTCATCACTTTTTTTTGCCATTTTGATTGGTGGAATTGTTGGACGTGTATGATTGGCCCATTGGGACATACGAGAAATCTGTCATGTCGGCTAAATTCCTTTCCACGCACTGCTCCGACCACATGACTGCGAGAATACGATGCTTTTGGATTTTGTGGTCTCTTTTAGCTTGGAGTTCGGCTATTCTCTGTACAGCTGGGTGCTTCTTTCCCTATTGGCTAAAAGGCATATTCAAGGTCACTTTGTGGGGAGCTAATTCAACTACTATAGATAAGCAACTAAACAGCCATGTGGGTTTATTTAGACGATGCGTTTACGCCACCTATACACCGAGTTTACAATTCATAGGCAGTGGAGTTGAGTCTGGGATTGACCTACAACCAAATTGTGGACATTATTCATTTGCGGATATTCCTCACATGACGTGGAAAATTGGACTCATAACTCTAGCAGTGTCGTGCATCATTCTGTTCTTCCTTACCTTCTTCATCTTTGTTTCCGGATTTAATGTAATTCTTCTTGCAAATGGCTGCGTTTGCAAACTCTGTCAGTTTGGATTTCTTGTTTCCGGTGAGTAAAGCCTTTTTTACCTACTTTGCCAAGTTGACGTTGGCTTTTAAGGCATGTGTTTCAGCCCGCCAACAGTTCCTGCATCGTGGGAATAACGGATATTAAATTTAATCATTTGAGCCCTCTATTTATCCAAGACAAATCATGGTTATCTTAAGTTTAAATATGGCAAAATATTTATTAATATTTTATTAATTCCAAATCCATAATGCCTTTTTTTAAAAATGGTCGATCCATTCGTGATTTAGGAATTCATTTTTCCATTAATTATTAAAGATGCTATATTTTTGAGATTTTGAACTAGGTTAGTAAAAACTTTGGCCATTATGGAAGCGAATTTTGTATTTTATTTAGTTAACTAGAATTTCCTTATCTTCTACATTTTAAATTAATATTCGCATATATTCTACTGGCAGATAATGGAGCTCTATTCGAAAACGAGCTACCTTCAAAGGTGATGATATAGCAGATCCACCTTTATTCTTTGTATTTTCGTGGTCGGTTTGGAAGGGGGGCACAAAGTCGGTCATTTCGATTTTCCAGCTTGACTGCATAGTATTCACCTTGAGTTCGCTACCCGAACAACTAGCAGAGTTGTTGTCAAGATCTATTGATCATTCAACGCTTAAGACAACGTAAGCTCCAAATATCGGACATTTCAAGGTTTACAGAACTATTGTCATTGAGCTTATTGCTGGGAATCGACCAGTGTTCTCAATCAACTTGAAAATGTAGGTTTTTTTTTCACGATGTTGCTCAATTCTATGAGTCATAAACAAACTAAGGTTAATTTTCGGAAACATGTCAATGATAAATGGAAGAATTTAATACAAAAGCACGCCTAAAAAGTAAATCAAACCAGACTCCAATGAAGCAGCTGGAAAGGAAATGCCCACAAAAACTGGAGGTCAGTTCTCAAAATTTGTCTCAATTCTGGCAATTGTATGGAAATGCCACATTCTTAAATGCCCAATTCCTTTACTATTAAAGGCAGAAAAGCTTTCTTTAATTCGTTTATCGTGGTTTCAATCACTTGTCTGGGAGACTTTGAGAAAGTGTACATCAAAATTTGAAGCTTAGCTATACCAATGATCGTTGACAGTATTAAGCTTACTTATTCTTCAAAGATGCACTTTGTTTAAGCAGAATAAGTGAGATGATTCAATTTAAATAATCAGAGTTTACTTCGGATTCTATTAAAGTATTTTTCATTTCCAATTGTTCAATGAAATAACAGAATACGCAATTACATAGGAGGCCGATAGAACAGGTAAAGCAAATCTTAATGCTAGATTTAGTTTTGTTGATGGTAAAAATGCTTTCATACTGCTTTATTCATTGTTCCATTATCAATTCATGGTTGTCTGCCGCTATGTTTAAATACAACTCTTTTGACATCTGATTAAATTCAGAATAGTTCTATGCAAACATTTAGCCGTTGATACAAATTGGTTGCATTTGACATTACTGTTAGCAGGAAGTCCAACGGTCATTCCACGATATTCCCTTTTCTGTTTGCCATTTAATTAGAGCAATCTATCCTAAAAGGTACAATGACTGCCTTCCAGCAAGTAGAATGATTTAGACATAATCCGAAAAACTTTTTTTACCTCAATCTGACATTTAGTATACAACCAATGGCATTTCCAGCATCACTTTCTTGGTATTTTTGGGGTTTGGTGGGAAATAGAAGAATTGCAATAATCCGAATATTGCAGGTAGAGCTAATTGGAGTCTATTCGTGAATGAGGAAAATGTTGAAAGAATAATTGTATCTTCCATGAGTGGTTAGCAATTGTGAGAGATAAGGTTGCGAAGTGCAAATCATCTGTCTACATTGTCTGCCAATTTTTTGGTCTTAGCACATGCGGTTTTTAAGGAGAGAGGTTTAGTAAATGTGGACTAAGTAAAAGTTGAAGTTTTCAACACGAATAGAGCCCCAATAATTGTGCTTATATTGGAACAGAAAGGGGATAAATATATAGGTACGCTGTCGAAATGATAAGTTGATTCGCATGCTTTATTTAATTAATGCAGAGAGTAGCCATGAATAAAAATATTCTGCCTGAAATGTTATACTGCTTAAGTTTATGACTTTGAGTTGTGATTTCAGCGGCAGTCGTAAATGAAACTGAAATTTTATTTTAAGATTACATATTGTCAACATTTACACTACTTACTAATTGACACTCCATTTAATTTACTTCCTTTATGTCGCATTATAATCAGAATTAAATTAAATATTGAGTACAATGAATCACAGATCACAAGCACAAATATAAGTAAAATCTAGCTTTAAGTTCATTTGATCAAAGTATATTGTCGGTTTGTACCTGGATATCAAATCGAATTTTCGCATTGCTCTCGAGAGAAACTCTCAATTGCCATGTCTAGTAGTCTGCTATATCGATTTACTGGAAGTCGCACGACCACATCCCAAGGGTCTAGAAGCAGCTAAGAAGAAACCATCGCTTAAAGTATTACTCATCCGTCAGCAAGTCACTTACCACCTATTTAATACCACATGAGATAAATGGATTTTGAGTCAGGTTGGCTGCGCCTTCGAGTAAATGAATAAATAAATAAATGTAATTAGAAGATTAGAGAAGCTGACACTTACATTAGAAGCAAGATTTGAATATCGATAAAGAATTTATTTATTTATTTCAAATGGCAGGCTTTATGATAGCTATCAATAGCCATTTAGCTGATTTCTGGCTTCACAGAGGGGAGAAACATCAAAGTGGGAAAAATTCGAGAGGGGGAACAGAAAAGTGATTCAATGATGCAAAAGAGATAGACAGACACAAAGGCAGAGAAAAGGTAAGGTGAGTACTGTGAAAGTGGTAAAATATGACATACAGTGGGGTGGTGGTAGTTTGAAGTCAACTGCCGATTTATAGACCTTTTTGCCGTATGAATATACGTGCCCCACTTAGAGAGGTAAGTCTATCGTGCACCCCCATATCGATGAAGAAAAAAGGAAGATTTCCACTTCTGGAATGTAAGCTAATTTATGGAGTTAGGAAGGCGTAATTTGAACCACACTTTCCAAACACCTTCAAAGTATTTGATGAGCTGGTGAGAATTATTTTTCAAGGCAATTGAAGGCACTTGCTTTGATTGAATTTGCATTCTTCAATAAGAATTATTTATTTAAAAGTTGGGCTAGTTTTGGATAAAAAATTTCTAAACAGAAATGAAAAGGAACAGTTACCCGTCCTTCAGATTTCAAAAGTCAATTATCTTATGGCTTTACGAAAATTAGATCAAAGTTATAAAATTAATTATTTTTTATAAAGGCTTGTTTTAAATTATGGAAATTTGTAAATTCAAAATATGGAATAGAATTGGTGGAAATATATTTATTCAAATGGCAAATTGAATGGAAGGTAATGTTAAAAGAAGCGCTTCGTCAATAGAAAACGGGATTTTAAATCTCAAGATTTTCTGTTGAGAAACAGAAGGGCTTAAATAAATTCTTCAAGTGAAATGTTAAAAATGGAGCCTTTGTGATTTGCATGTAATAAAGCGTTTCAAATTTTTTTCCACAGTGAATTGAAGCGAAGAAATAAAATTAACCAATGATTGAGTTGGAGGTTTTTTTTAGATTTCCAACTAAACGGAATTCAAATGCCATTTTCCTATTCACTTAATCTTGAATTCCAATTGTGCAGTTCATCTTGTGGTTTCTGTTTTCAAGAATGGATGAAGGCAAATTTTTGGAAGGAATAAGACTGGGAATGCGACACTTCGGATTTAGGCAACCAGGTGTTCTATTGGTTAGAGGGAGGTTTGTGGTTCGTTTGACCGTTGTCATAGAATATGAGCTAGATAGGGTTCAAAATGAGCTCAATGCATTAAGGCTGTGGAGAACTAGGAGTGATTTTCTATCTATCAATCTCCCACACACTCACTACTTTGACCAAAGCTCGTAAATAGATTATAAGATTTATGTGAAGGCGCAGTTATTATAAAAATGTATTTTTTTCCCTATTTATCACTTAAACAGGTCTACTTGTGGGCTTCACTTGTGTGATGTATCCTGTTGGCTGGAAGGGGAACGAGGAGGTAAGGCAGATTTGTGGTCCGTCTGCAGATATCTACAACATTGGTAAGTTACAAATCTTTTGTTTTTGCCCAACTCACACAAAGAAATTGGGTGAGCAAGATGAGTACTGGCATTATTCAGTTTTACTTTTAATATCAAAGACGAATTAGATTTTGAAATCCAAAGTTAATTAAATTAAATATAAAAAAAACTCATTATCACGCTAATGAAAAATAGAATCGTAGATATTGTAAGTTATGCTGTTTCTCACTGAAAAGGATAACTCCTATTTCATGCCTACAACGTTCATTCCAATGTCACACCTGTAAATTCCAAAAATAAAATTTCATTTTCAAGGTTATTTTTTATCTGGTGAGGCAGTCTTCGATGTTAAGGTTAAATTCATTTAAAGAAATTTTGACTTATCATGATGCGACGTTTTGGAACTTCGCCACTCAGAAATATCAAAAAATAATAACTTTATCTAAATAAAATATGTGAGTAATTCAAGAGGAAAGTCCCTTCAGAAATCGCAATTATCTTTTTTTAAATATTATATGTATTTTCTTTGGAAAAAATCACCATTTATATACTGAATGAATGGGACGTTAAGCCATTATAGCAAAATGCGAAGATTTCGATGAATTTTAAAGGTTTAGTTATTATCAAATTTCAAATAGAAGCAAGAGAAATTAACCTTCTATATATAGTTAAAACAAATTACTAAAAAAACTCGGTTTGGTTTTTAATTACTTGCAGGATATGCCAACTTTTACCTATGCATATAGTTTTCATTTAAGATTTTCGATGTAACGTAAGCCTTGCGTGTTTCAAATATTTTGCCTATTGAATATTCAATACCAACATAATTTGGCAAAGAGAACAAAACTATCTGAAACTCAAAAATAATTATTGTTTTTTTCAATTTTTTTCACTTTAAATTTTGTTGAAAGATAAGTGCTTGATATTAATAAGTGCTATAATATTCCCCAATCAATCAAAAGCTGGTCACCTGAGAGAAGCAAAATCGAAATTGCAAGTGAATTAAATCTTGATGTACATTAAGCTTTTTAATATATTAATTTATTTATATTTTCGAGTGCTTTTATTTCTTATCATAGTACTTTCTCATCCGCTTTTTGAAAGCCTTCAAAATCAATTGCATGTCGGAATTGTCTACTCGAAGATACAGCATGCCTTTCCATAAGAACAAGAACGCAAAATTCCACAGTTGTTTTACTTAATTTGTTCTATTAAAGTTATTATTTAAAGACTATAGAAGGTATTTCGGAAAACATCTGTTGCTTAAATCTCCGACAAGTGAAAGTTGAGACTGAAATCAGCATTAGACATTGCCCTGGATCTACCCAAAGTAGCAAAGCTAGAGTTGGTATTGTGGTAAAAAATTTATCTGCAAAACCAATCAGGAATTGAGTAAAAGTAACGCTACGTTGAACGAATATTGATTAATGGTTGACTGGTAGACCTCTACACATTTGATAGATTCGTTAGTCGAAAGTTACTTTGATTAAGAATTCAGCACCAAATGTACCATAAAAAGAGCCATGCATTTCATGGCAAATTTTAAATCCTAATTTACAATGGGAGTTAATTTTCCGTTCCCGGTTTTTTTAATTATCATATTACCTGATTCATAAGTCTTTGATAAGCACAATCAGTTTACACCATAGCCTTGTCAGAATGCGTATTTATGATTTCTCGAAAATGCTGATATTTGGCTTTCAAAGGTAATAAAAATATTATCAAGGAAAGGATATAGATATTTGTGGGGAATTGAAACTTTGTGAAATTATACTGACGTCAAATGTAACAAATTCAAATGTTTAAATTCTCAAACATGAGCTCATTATAATTTTTATCTGTTGAAGGTCACACCGAGTTGTAACTTTGACGAATGGAGGTTTAAATTTTATATATTCTAATGCATTGAAACTTTTAGTAAGCTTTCCTAAATTTTATATATCCGATTCCTTCTTTAATTTTTTCTATTCTTAGGATCGCTTAGAAATTATTTTTATGAATGTATGTATGGTATGAAAACTTGAAAAATCAATAAGATGAATTTGTTTTCGATAAATGCTTTTATTATTATTTAACAACACTGAAAGGTTTTACATTTTACATAGTGTTTAATAAGATCAAACCGAGTTCCAAAAATGTTGCTGTTCGCACCTAGATCAGCACCAAATAAATTGAATAAAACTCTTCAGGGTGCAGATTCTTCTTCGACAAGGAAAATAAATCTGCACTTTAATATATCGCACGCGATTTTACATCTTTCTTTCACCTTTAGGACATTGTGAAGTTCAATGGGCTTACATGATAACAATCTTAGGAGGGATTCTTTCTTTATTGTCGACACTTCTGCCCTGTGCAATACCAACCCAAGTTCCCTACGATTTGGTACCATCCTACGGTAAGCGGTACTTCGGTGAATTTCCGAATGGAAATCTCTTTGTAAGTGGAGCGAACATGCCTCTTTTGTTGGCTAGAAACGCAGCCACACCCACAGACCAATCTTCACTCTATCAAGGCAGTTTCAGTCGGAAAACGAGTAGTGTTCACGGCCCTATGATTGCAATATCTTCGAGTAACTATGCTCCAACTTCGGAATATCGGGTCCTGATGCCTGCGACACCAGTGATAGTTCAGTCTTCATAATAAGTACACCTCCATAATTTTGTTCGACTTTAATCTGCTTCACATATTCTTATTGTCTTCTCCCATTACTCAGCGAAGATGGTAGAAAATGCGAATCGGAAACTAGTTGCTCTGTACACTTTTTCGTGTCTACTTTAATAATATAAGCAGTGTATATTTAATTGAAATGAATTTGTGCACATAAAGCACTGGCGGGGTTTTTAGAAAAGGATTAACTTACTTTATAAAACTAGAAAAGACTGAAAACACGAAAAAGCATGCAAAAATTATTTAAAAATTTGCTGTTTTTAATGGCAAAGACCTTGGCTAAAGTGAATAAATGACATGAATTTTGAAACGCATCACGCAATCTTGGTTGCTATGGCACCAATGCTTAGAAAGTTTTTATCTCAATTGTGCCACCAAAATTTTTATTTTGCCAACTGCCAACGGTTACCAGATCCTTGACTCCGACGTCTGCTACTCATTGGCAAGCATTTTACTCAGGGTAATCATTTCGCTTCTATTTCAATTCATTTACCTCTTAATGACTGGGAAGGCAATAACCTGACACGATATTTCGGATTTCGTAGACGTTATACTTCAGTAATGATCACTGTTGAAATGTGCTGCTTCGTTGAAGATGTTGATTTCAATTACTTGCACAAATATTCGCTCTATGGGAGATAAACCATTTTGTTAGTTGAAGTAATTTACCAACCAAGATCGGAATTCATTTCTTCAGTATTGTGATTTTCGGTGAATGAAGAATGAATCGCCTTAATGCCTACATTATGGAATAACCAGGTCATCAATAGCTTGCAATGAATATTATAAACTGCTAATTGAAAATATGAGGAAGGAAAATCATAAATTTAATGCACTGAGTTTATTCTTTCCACTAGCAAAAGGCAGACAGTCTCGAGGGAGTGAAAATATATACGAGAGTGACATTGAATTCACTGAAAAAAAACAAAGATTGATTTCAAGAGAGTGAAAGAGTCAATCAATTAGAACATGCGGGCTCGCAAAAATTATAAAAAGAGCAAGACGAGGAGCATTAGGGGTAACAATTTGAACGTGTGACACAAAATGGTAATGTATGGATCACGTAAGGAAAAACTGAGTCATCGCAAAAAGGGGCGAGTAGAAAAATCGATAATCGAAATCCTGTTTTAGTGGGTGATTGAATTCAGCTCATTAAAGCTCACAACATACCAATAACTTCGTCAAAACTAATTTTGATTAACACTTTTCCCAAAATTTATCTTAAGAATTATTAAAGTGAATCCTCCGTCATGCATATAATGCAAGTCATCAGTCAATTTTGGATTTGTGGTCTCCTTAAGTTCCAAATTTTCTTGAAAGTAATATAAGTTACATCATGTAACGTAAGTAGTTATTTTTACAACAAAGAGGCCCCAGCAGTAAGCATGCGATGACTAATGTCACCTTTCAAAGTCGATTAATCAATATTCTAACTCTACTCATGGTTAGAAGTTGGAACGGAGTTTCTGGGCGCTCACCCTGTTAATCGACATGGGATATTGAGTTTTGGGGTCTGTTCCAAATTGCGATCTGTTTAAAATTGATCAATTTCAAAATCAAACAAATGTCATAAACTTACTTCATTATTGCTTATTAAATTAACCCGAAAAATTGCTTTTGTCAGAATGATGTATGATTAATGAGTAAACCAAATGCGATTGCAAATTGGTAATTTATTTTAGAATTCTAATTGAAGAACGACTTCTACTTATAATGACTGCGCAATATCGAATACTAACACGGCAATCAAAGAGAGAATACGAATAGCCAACATCTTCATTAATTGGGAAGTGGTTCGTAGAAATTTCAAGTCTTTATTTTATTTGAACCAAATTAGACGAGTTATATTGATATATAATATAATTTAAAACTTGGAGTAATCGTAATCCGCGTTTGGTATTTGGCTACAGATTTTAAGTAGTAATAAAATTAATAATGATTAACCTAAAAATTGAAAATTTAATTAAGCCTAAGTATAGATTAAAGAAAAGGCATAAAATTACTTAACTATGATAAAGAACATGTTCACTTTGATTGGCAAGTGGGCGAGATTAGATACACGTGGATAAAATGATTGAGAAATGTGAAGTTTGAAATGGGTGGGTAATGGGACTGATGGGATTGAGAAGGACTTGGGTAAAAACAACTTCCAACAACTCTATTAAGAGTCAAAATATTCACATTTATGCTCCCGTACAAGGGGATGTAGCTCAGTGGTAGAGCGCTCGCTTTGCATGCGAGAGGCCCCGGGTTCGATCCCCGGCATCTCCAATTTCATAATATTGGGATTTGACGTAGACTCAATTCCACGTGGTGAGTCTTGGTAAAATGAGCTCATAAGGCAAAATTTTTTTTAAACCGACAGTTGACTTCAATTTACCATGGCCCGACTGTATGTCATGTTCGACCACTCACAGTACTCACCTCAACTTGCCTTCTTATCTACCTTTGTGTCTGTCTGTCTCTTACATCTGGGAATCACTCATCTGTTTCTCCTTTCGACTTTTAATCACTTTGATATCCCTTCCCTCTGTGTAACCCAAAGTCACCCAAATGGCTAATGCTAACTATCATAGAGCCCGCCATTCGGCATAAATATATACTTTATACTTGATGTAAAGTGCTCTATATAATCAAGAACATTGAAATAAAGCTCCAATCTTATCTGATAGTTATATATTGTAATATCCCATCACTGAGCCTTTACATAAGCACTACCTCTTCACCCCGAATTGGAGGAATGACTATCAGCAATTATCCGGCTACCTGCGGTCTGCCAATGAATCCTCAAGAAATAACGCGTCGATGTTGAGAATTAAGAATTTAGTGGCATCTGGTTGAGATATTAGTTCTATACAAGGAACTCCAAATTCAAAGCTGCAGATTAGGAAGATGGATATCCGATTGGAACCATAGTACTTAATTGGAATGAGGTAGAGGTAAATAAAAATTTGGATGGTTCTCCTATAAATAAGAAGAAGCTATAAGAAACATCACATAGAGAGGAGCTGGTTGAGGACCTGACAGTGGGAGTAGGTCGAAGAGAGTATGTTTCTTGAGGTTTATTTGAGTTAACGCGTGAGTTTTATTGATGGGCGTAATGAAGCGATCTTGGTATTTGATAGCGTATGACAATGCTAAGATGACTAAACACTAACTCACATCCCTGCATCAGCCAAAACATGAGTATTTTATGAAACCTCGTTCAGAGACTAAATCTTGGACCAAGTGTTTTGAATGATTCTTGGCAATTCTGGTAAGTATGGCTTCTGGATGCCTTGTAGTAATATATTTTAGACTTTATTTTCAATTCTCTTGATGGGTTTGACATGTAAAGTTATGGCTAACGTATGTAAAGTTGGAACTCACGAGCTCGATATGCGTCAGTGTGGGTTGTGCGGTATACTTACTGCCACATGGTGCTCCCTGGTCTATAAACCAGCAGTTGACTTCTGACTCCAAACTACTAAGACCCCGCAGTTTTTCGTATTCCACCACTTTCAGAGCACTCACTTCACCTTTTTCTGTCTTTGTGTCTGTCCCTTGTATAGCTTTGAAATACTCTTCTGTCCCCCCTCTCCCCCCCCCCTCCTTTTTTCACTTTGATGTTCCTTCCTCTCTGTGAAGCCTACCATTTGGCTTAAATAAATAATTGAAATATTATACGCTATCGCCTAAATTTTCAAGTTCGTTCTCATTCACGCTGGCACTTTCTAAATGACCAATTGATCTCTACAGGTGATTACTTATTCAATTGTGTAGAATCGGTTTAATGACACATTTCCTTATATATTTACTTACAATTGTCACCTTTGCGCCTCAAAAGAGTCTCTTTTTGGAATAACTTGTATTCACCATATTTCTCAAATCCCTTAAAATCAAAGTTTCTAATCATAGAGCAAGTAATTATGATGCTTTGAATATTAATTTATTATTTTAATTTGACAAGCGCAATAGGGCTCAGTTGAATATACCTTCTTTCATTGAGACCAATTTCAATTAACAAAGTCTAGAGATGTAAATAGAATCTGGAAAGATGGAAGAAGGGAGATGTGTGGGGTGTGTGTCTGAATACTGAATTAAGTCCTCTTTAATGAACCAATACTCCCTATGATTCAAGTCGTACTTTTGATATGGCAGTCAGTAAGTCACATGTTAATTAAAGTTTGCAAATCATTTTCATTAGTCAGAGCGAAAAATTTCTTAAACACTCTCCAGGTAGAGGCTTTCTTTTCACTTATGAATTGGAATGGCGACTAACCGTGTAGGTATGAATGCTGTATTACTGCAATTTCTTTGAACTGTTAAAAAGGGAGCCTTTAATTGCATTCAATTAATCAGATTACAGTCGCAAGACTCTCTGTGAAAATAGAACTAAAATTATGGACTAGTGGGGGGGGGAGGGAATGGAGGGTGAGAAATATTGGAAAATTTATAAAAAGTGAAATGTCAGTGACATGGACAACAACGTTGACATCGTAGAAGATCGATTATCGATTTTTTCAAAAAAGGATGAAACTTTTTTCGCTTTGGGATCTTGCTTCCATAATTTAATAGATTTGATAAATCTTCCCTTTGCTTTGCACAAATAGACACCTGCTAATTCTGGAGATAATTTTTTTTTGGAAAAAAAGTCGGAAATGATTGAAATAGCTGAGATTAATGCACCTATATAAATAAATCATATTCTTAATGGCTTTCTTGCCTCAATGGGATTGGACATTCTTTCTTTCTGCTTTCCCTGGTTAATTTTTCATCGCTTTAGAAGATAACGGCGCTGGTAAACTTTATGGTACGTTAAAGGACATCAGTCTGAAAACCCCCTATCCCCCCCCCCNCAAACCCCCCTACCCCCCCCCCCCCACCCCCCCATCTACCTCTGTCTGTGTGTGTTTAGAAAAGTCATTATCTTAAGTGAGAGTTACGAACAGGGCAGTAGTTTTATTAGGGTTTCTCACATATTAGAAGAGAAG